ACACACACACACACACATTCACTTATGCTACTTGGATTAGAGCAAGTAACCGATTATGATAAATTAGAAATTTGGGAGTTATGTGATCGGTTGTTGGAATAATAATATGGCGGAATAATGATTGCTGTAAAAGATTTCATTTCTTTCAGTATTACATTACCATCTTTTTTCTCTCCTAAAACTACAAAAACTTCCTTTCTTTTTACATTTCATCCTTCTTTTCCCTCTCTCCACCTCTCCTTCTCTCTCTCTCTCTCTCTCTCTCCTTTTGACTGATAGTGTAATTTGTTACCCTTTTACTTGTACAAATTTCCTAGTCGGCTTTTTTGTTTAGCTGAAGAGAGGAAGGAGGAGGAGGAAAGTGGAAGAGGAGGAGGAAGGGAAGGGAAGGAGAGGGATGAAAACGGAGGGAGAGGAAGAAGGAGGAGGAAAAGAGGGCACGAAAAATACTTCAAGGACTTTTTTTTTTTTTGGAGATTTCACCCCATTCACACGTACACCTACCATATCCCTTGTCTGTTCATTCCAAACAGAACACTTCACAACTTCTCATTCCTTCTCTTTCATTACCACTCATATATACACACATACACACACACATACACACATACACATGCACACATACACACATACACACACACACATACACACACACACATACACACACATATACACGGACTAACTTTGCTACTTTTAATCAATTCAGTCGCCACCGAAGTCAGGTCATATTATCGAGGAATAAGTACAACTATTCGCTCTAATGATTACTTTCAGCTTCATTATATACCTAAGATGTTGCGTTAAGTAGCTGTTAGTTATAATTTATTCATGCATATATTTGTTTATCGCATATAGTATAAGAGTAAACAATTTTATTTATATTTATGTTAGATGTAGGTATGAGTTGGAATAGATGAAATTGGTTATCATTCTTTTCTATCAATCAATGATTATGAATTAAATGTATCATATCAGTTTAATGAGCAATCATTACCAGCATTTGAAGTGTTGAAATTGGAGTGAACTTGAAGTATTTGCAAAAAAGTTATAATTTATGAATTTTTCCCTAGTATTTAATTTTATTCAAATTTAGCTATACTTAGGATAGGATTTATTTATTTTACAGAAAAAAAATAAAATAATTGTGGGATACTAAAAAAAAAAGGAAGCTAAATAGATGTGTTTTCAATTTCTTTTCCCGTGCTAAGATTAGCCTAATGTGGTAGGAATTATTCATTTCTTATATTTTAAGTCAAGTTTCAATTTGTAAAATGAGGAATTAAATTTTGGAAAAGAGAGTGTGAAAACTGGTACACTTTCTTGTTCTATTTCTTGTTTTGTTGACTTGAAGTATCAGAAATAAATAATACGAAATCATTTATCTGTGCAATTAATTCTTTATTTTAGATGTCTATATATAAGGAAAAAAAAATATATATATATATAAGAAAAAGGGCATGAATAGTTGAATATGTATTTGTAATTTCTATTTTAACTTTGAAGAATTTTGTCTTTAGAAGAAGAGAAGTCCTTTTTTGATTTATTTTAAAAACTGCAGAAATAATTGTCAATTTTAAGGAAGAATTGGAAAATTCTGAATCATCAGCTGTTTGTAATAATTTCTTTCTTTTTTCATAAAAATTTCTCGTTTTTTTTTTAAAATTTTTATACATATGCTCAAAATTAACATTTGTTTGGAAAATGGCATGTATTTGTTAAGGATTGAAATTGATGTTCGAGAAATTAAAACCAGATTGTCTTTTTTTTGAAGAGGGAAAGGAGAGGTGTGAAAAAAAAAAGAAGAAAAGGAAAACTGATTTTCCCACAATTGTAAAATTAGTAAATTGCGAAAGGGAACATTCATTGAATTTCGATTAACTGCTCGGAAATCTGAAATGACTTAACACACATATATGATTTTAGCGAATTGGAAGAAAGTTTTTTTTTTTCCGACAGATAACCAAAAGATTTTAATTGGTCGTGACAGGAACATTAAACTAACGGCAAAGTTTTTTTATGCTTAAATGAGATTTCAAATTGAATGACCATTTCATAAACATTTCTTTCAGTCATTTTTGATCTATTATTCATTTTCGATTAAGGCAAAATAATAACACTTTTGCTAAATCTTTTTCATTCGATAAATACTATCACCGAATTAATCACCGATCAGTTTAGTCTTTATTTCAATGGTGAAAATTTTGTTGGCCTGAATTGTAATTTCAGAATGAGCAGCTAAATGGGGAATGTTCATTCGCTTTATTCCAAGTGTACATTTCAAGTTACTAATAATTAACTTTTTTAAAATTAATCTGATTGTAGTATTTAGCAAATTTGAAAGCACGTAATCATCCTTGCATTCTTTAAAGAGTGGCAGAAATCGATGGAATGAGAAGTATTGATTGCATGATTAATGATAACAATGAATGACATTGACATTTGATGATGAGAGATGATCAAATGGCTAATTTTAGTATGTTACCATAATTGGTCAAAGATTAGATCTCTATAGAGAGCTTATTGAAAAGTGATGTTTATTGATTTTAGGAATTGGATTGACAAATGAGATAATATTGGAAAAGAGAGAGTGTATAATAACTAGACGATGAAAATAGCAAATAGTATGAGAGAATAGAAAAAGATAGAATAGAAAGGAGATAGCATGATATAAGAATTCATTTATAAATATCATATAGTAGTTACAAAAGTATTACTTAATGATGAAGATAGAAATAATGTATCATCTCAATGAATTTCATTATCTTCATCATTGAATAATAAGTTAAAATTTTGGAATTGTTTTAAAAAAAGTTTTTTTTGAGTTTAAATTGTGAAACGGCCGAAGCCATGAAATGCCACGCGGATTGTCTTTTTTTTTAATTTGGGATGGTTTACATGAAATCGATTGAGAAGGAGGAACGGGGGAAGAGAAAGAGAAAGAGAAAAAGAAGGAGAAGGAGGAGGCGGAGGAGGAATGGCTGCAATGAAGTGAGAGGGAGAGTAAACACGGATGGAAGAGGGGATTGAGACGGGAAGAATTGCGTGGTTTTTGGTCTGAGGGTTGGTTGGTTGATTGGTTGACTGGTTGCTTGGTTAGTTGGTTGATTGATTCTTGGTTGTTTGGTTGATCTGTTGGTTGATTGGTTGATTGGTTGCTTGGTTAGTTGTTTGATTAATTGGTTGGTTGGTTGGTTGATTAGTTAGTTGGTTGGTTGTTGGCTGATTAGTTGGTTGGTTGTTG